CGGTCGTGAAATTTGTTGTGATATCGATCGTGAGATCTGTTGTGAGATCGACCGTGAGATCTGTTGTAAGATCGACGGTGAGGAGCGCACGTGAGATTTATAGTAGTGGATCGACAGCCAGATCGATATTGAGATCGATCGTGAGATCGATTGTGAGTTCGATCGTGAGACCGATAGTGAGGTCGATGGCGAGATCGATGTGAGATCGATCGTGAGACCGACAGTGGGACCTGTTGTAAGATCGATAGTGAGTCCGAATGTGAGATCGATGCTGAATTCGATTGTCAGGTCGATGGTGAGATCGGTTGGGAGGTCGATCGTGAGATCTGTTGTGAGATCTATCGTGAGATCGCTTGTGAGATCGATGGCGAGTTCGATGGTCAAATGGATAGTGAGATGTGATATTGATTGTGTGATCGATAGTGAGATCGATTTTGAGATCGATCGTGAGATCTGTTGTGAGAGCGAGAGTTTGGTCGATGTGAGGTCGATTGAATGAGACGTGGGTTTCCCCTCACCCCCCCGAACCTAACCCGAAGGGTGGTCGTATAGGTACACTGGGCTGAGATACCGCGAACACATGTCCGACATAACATTCGAAGTTCCTCCACCCGCTGGCAGATGAAAGTGCACACACACACCGACAACACGACTAACGCCACAGTACTGGAACCACAGGGGTTGGGCATGGCTCAAGGCCAGAACGTGCACCCTGCCGACTTTGAGGCCCTCCTTCATCACCTACCCCTTTCAAGTCAAGTCGTGCGAAAGGAAGAGGGCAGTACGGGCGCCCTCCGCGCCTGGAAGCCGGCCAGGTCATCCACAGGGACCTGAAGCCCCGCAACCTGCTCGTCAACAGCAACTGCGACCTGAAGATCTGCGACTTCGGCCTGGCCCGCGTGCGCTTCCGCGACAAGCGCGCCCTGCCGCCGTGTCGCCTCCCCTCGGATCCGGGCGCGGCGAAACTCAAACATGAGAAATGTTTCATATACACGGACTCCAAGAAATGCGCGCGGATTTCCGAAAGTGAATGTTCATACAGATCTTTCCTCTAAAATCTCTGTTAGCCAGCGTGGACCACAAACATTGTTTCTAGCGATACGTGTTGCGTAATCCATGTGGTGCAATTCATGCTTTGCAACCTATGTTGTGCAGTAAAAAGTGGTGTGACCTATGAGGTGCAATATAGCTACGTGGAGAAGTTTATGTCTTGCAATCTATGTGGTGCAATATGTGTTTTGCAACATGTGGTGTGCCATCCATTATGTGAGCTCTATGTGTTGAGATCTATGTGGTGCAATCTGGGTGAAGCAAACAGTGTGTCGCAATATAGGTTGAGCAACAGGTGTTATACAATATAGCTTGTGCAATCTATGTGGTGTAGTACACGTGGTGCAACTCATGTTGTGCAGTCTTTGTGGCGCAATTTATGTCATTCGATTGATCTATGTGGTGCACTCTAATATACGGTGTGCAGTTCATGTGGTGCACTCCATTTGGTGAATGCTATACTTTGCAATCTAGGTTGTGCGTTCTATGCTGTGAGTGATCAAAGAGCGCACCTCAAGTGCGACATTTTTTCCTGAAATGTATGTGCTGTAATCCAGCAGCGGCGACGGGCGGCGACGAGGCGGCGACGGTTCGGCAACGGCCGGAACGGAGACGCCAGACCGGCCAATTGGCCCAGTTCCGTCCTCGGTGCCGGGCCCGGTGCCGTCACAGAACGGCTCGCGAGGATCGGGGGCGTCCAGGAGGGAGGTGAGGACTAGGGGCGTGTGTCAGCATAGGTCATCCGATTCCTAGGCCCAATGGGCCGTAGTCTTTCAGCATAGCCATCACCCCGTCCCAGTTGGGGGTGTACCTCTCGAAACCAGAAGGGAACAGCCCACATCCCGGACTAGGAACCAACCGATTGATCGCATCCCCACCCATGGGAGATGGGGACGCATTCTGTTAGCTGTGCGAGAAGTCATATTTTTGTTCATGTCCGCGGGAATCAATGTTGCGTTTCCGGGGTATGAGGTGCAGCGTAATCCGCAATCCACCCAAATCATGCCAGATGCTTATGCTTTGGACTGTTGGATCCGAGCTGCAGTAGAGACATTTGACTTACTGCATAATTGGATGAACGGATTAGGAAATGAAGTATCGGAGACCGTACGACGGAATTCCTCGCGCATTCAAGAGGCCATGGTCTTTATACACGCGTCAACGGAGTCTCAATTTAGTGTCAAGATTTGTCTTGCCAATCGCCTCTTTGGGGTCTGCAATATTGATGACTCCATTTGGATCACCAATTGCGTTAAGAAGAAAAAGGAGGAGAGTGGCTCAGCCAACTCTCCAACCGAGACAATCCCAGCCGAGTTGCCAGCAGATGCTGTGACCCCAGTTGTTGAAGGCATTGCCCCGAGCGGTACCGCCGCCCCGGGACAGCGAACTCAGCAATGCTCGCGCCCGGCATCGCGACCGAGGTTCCAGTATGAAGGCAGTCTCATCGGGCCGCCCCCCATGCTCCTGTTTCTGCCGGCTCAGCCGCGTCAGGCGCCAATGCTGGCTGGATCGATTATGACAGGATCTAATCGTGGGCGGATGAATCCTGGACTGATGAGCCCATCCCCGAAAGACTGGCTGTACAGGTGGTCGGCGGCCGCTCGCGCGATGGCGGCGGCCCCGGGCCGGCCATGGACGGCGTCTACGACGCGACCGTCGACTACGAAGACAAGACCGAGAATGGAGAAATTCGAGGAGACTATGTACATGTATCCCGGCATCATCAAGGCACCAGTCAGAACACAACGTGGCAATGGTTTAGTCTGGACGAGTACAGCGACAAGTTCCAGCGTGATTCTGGGATGCCAAGTACCTTGCCAGTGCCTCCCCCGCCGCCTACGCCGAAGGCGAGACCGCCGGAGAAGGGCCAGGGCAAGAATGAGCCAAGTGGCTGGAGCTCGAGCAGAAGAGAGGACAGCTCCTCCAGGGACCAGAACCAGTGGCGCTGGAGCAACAGCGATCCCGGGATGACTCTCGTGAATGGAGAGGTCGCTGGAGAAGGTGATGTTGCGCAATGGAACCAGTACGACAAAGTTGATGCTGGTCCGCACTACTTCGTGGAGCGGGTGCACCAGGTGTGCGTGGGCATTGAGGCCAGAGCTGGAAATATTCGCTCAGGCGGGGAACGCCGGGCTTCTTCGGCCTCCCGCCACCTGGCTATCACCGTTGAGCGGTAAAATGCTTTTTGGGGTTCGCTCCGGTGGCTGTACATATGTACAGGCCAAGCGGGTTGGGGGTCGGGGCGGCTCTACGGATCCCGCCGCGGGGGGAGTCAATGCACCTCTTCCGCACCACCATTCTTTCGCCCTGCCTGCTCTCTCTCCTTGCACGCGTTGTCCGTTGCTGTACTGACTGACTTCTTCTGCTCCCGCAGCTATATACTTTCGCTTTAGGGAAACGGAAAAGGAGCGAGCCTGCGGCGCGCGCGCGTGCGTCGGCCGGCGGGCCGGCCTCCTCCCTTCAGTGTTACCTTAGTGTATGCTTGACGGCACTATCTTTTCTTACCCATGTCATCTGCGGAGCCCACTGACCAATGATATATCATCGGAACATCTTGCAGGGATTATGAATGTCCAGGCAAAAGACTCCCCGGCTTGGCTTGGCCACAGCCGGCCCCGGACATCCGAGGTCTCGTATTCTTCCGTGCGGGTCTTCCGAAGTCCCAAACCTCTTCCCGGTGCCGGTTGTCCGAGCCGTTTCCCGAGAGTCCCGGGGCGCGGCGAGGGCGCCCAGGGGCCGCGCCGTGTGATTCGGTGCGCTGGAGGTCAAGGGCGGTCGCCGTCCTGCCAGGTGCGATTCGCTCGGCGCCGCAGCTGGGGTCGTCGGGCGCCGCTCCACGGCCGCGCGGCTTGCAGAGGGGGTGCGTGAGCGTCGCGGGCGTTCTCGCGCCCCCCCATCCCCGAGACGTCCCCCGAAAAATGAGGCCGCGCAGAGAAGAGGGGCAACTCGGAGATACGGTTGGGGGCTTTCGGTTAGCGTGTCGCGCCGCTGGTTCTGGCCCACTACGCTTCGGCGGGATACGCTATCCACGTCCCAGTCTCCAAGCGTCAACGGCCTGAGTCTTTCCCAGCCTCCTTTCCCACAGAGTAGAGCGACACGCTACCCCCTCGCAGGGTATAGCGTGTCGACGGGGCCGCCGCAGCCGCGAAACGGCAAAGCAATTGTTCCTTACCGTACACCCACGGGGGCCATCCGGACGAAGTGCTATTGAGGATGTGCGCCCCCCATCGTGCTCAGAGTCGGGGATCGGGGTCTCCATGCGTCCCAGGGGTGGACGTATAGTCTCTGCTTTCACGGATGCCGCCCCGGGGATAGAAGATGGGGAGGACGAGTGGGGAGGGGCTCTGGGTGTGGAGGAAGAGGAGGAGCACACCCTCCCGTCCAAAATCCCCTCCGCATGATGCGCTCTACAGGTGCTCCTTGTCACCGCGGGGGGCGCCCCCATGGAAGGGCAGACCGTGCAGTGTGCGCGCGTGCAGGCATGGCCATCGGCCCCTCAGCCACTCAGGGCCTGGAGGTTGAGCGCGAGAGGCCTTAGCCGTTCCGATGTAGACCGATCCGACCCACACTCTGATTTGATACGATTTCCCGATTCGGCGCTGACTGATCTTGCTTGGGCCCTTAGAGGCTCGCAAGGCTCAACACTGGGGCAGAGCTGTCCCACGGGCCTGACCACTCTCTGGATGTTTTCATAATGAGCTCTTGGGCACATGCAATTCTGCTCAAGAGCGAGATCTTGCATCCCTGTGGGGCCTGCGGCTACCCTACCCCGTCAGCGCGCCCATGCTCTTCCAGGCGATGTCTGCTAGAACCTCTGGGTGGGGGTCGCCGCCTCGGCCCCAGAGGCCACTTCAAGAGACGCAGGAGAGAGTCATTGTCAGTCAGGCCGCCGAAGCTGCTTGCTGCTACGATTGCACCTTTATGCCGCCGTCAGGGAATGGGTATGCCCAATGACCGAGTATGTCTGCACGCGGTGGTATCGAGCACCAGAGGTTCTCATTTTGTGGGGGGTGCGCGGGCACAGCCATTTCCGAGCGAAGACAAGGAGTTCAAGGGACAAGGTTTCAGCGATACGCGCATGCAGGGGAACGTGTGACTGTGTTGTCTGAGGGTGTTGATCAATCGAGGCTGATCTGACAAAGACACGCTGTGCCTTAATCCGTAGTCTGCGCGTTGGAGGAATAACGCTGAACGTAGCAGAGAGCGTTCGAAGCTAGCGCTTGCATGCTTGTGTGCGGTGCTGCTGGTCCTCTGCTCCTGGAGGGAGACGGCCAACAGAGATGTAAGTCAGGGGAGAGCTGCGGGGTAACCGGGAACCAGGGATCACGAGGGGCGTGAGGGGCGCCAGACGAAAACCTCGTCCCTTCCTCTCTCCCTTCTCCCTCCCCTCTTCCTCCTCACTTCTTCCGCTGCCGGGGGGGTCGGGTGTTTGGCAACGGAGGGGAGGAGGCTTAGGATGGGCTAGAACAGAGGGGGTGGGAGGAGAAGGAGTAGGAGTAGGAGTCAAGCTAGCCAGCTCGGGCGAGTCGAGCATGGCATGCCCAGTCCCACCCGCCCTCCCACAACATAAGAAACAGTGCTGGCGCAACTGGGGACCGAAATCAGATCGGCAAGGTGGTTTGCCACAGCTGATGCAGCCGCGATGGCGGTTACTGATAAGAAATCCCTGGCGCGTCTCAAAGATTGCGCTGGCATTTCAGCGCGAGCCGAGGAGGCCCCAGGAAGCCTCAGGAGGCCTCAGGAGGCTTCAGGAGGCCTCAGGAGAAACCCCAGTGACCCCCAGGAAGCCCCAGGAGGCTTCAGGAGGGCCCAGGTAATTCCAGGAGGCTTCAGGAAGCCCTAGGAAGTGTCAGGAAACCTCCAGGGAATCCCAGGAAGCCCCAGGATGCCCCAGGAGGCTCCAGGAGGATCCACGAGGCCCTGGGGAAGCCCCGGGAAGCCCCAGGATGTCCCAGGAGACCCTGGAAGGCCCCATGGGAGCCCTAGGCGCTCGACGAATTGGCGAGCGAAAAATGTGCGCCGCGCCTTAGCGGGAGCGCAACTTTCAGAAAACATGCGCGCGACGCCGAAGCGAGAACGACATTTCGCCCTGTCGCGCGCGATGTGCATTGCGCCCCCTTCCTGCCACGCATTTCGCAAAGCCGACGACAAGAACATCCCCACTGAGAAGAAACATGTCGACAGGGAGGATGGCCCCTCCCAGTTGGGGTTGCCCCACACGTCCGCGCGCGATGTGCGCCGCGTCCTATTCCTACGACGAATCTCGCATCGCCGACGACAAGGAAGGCCATGTTTAGAGAAACAACGGCGACTTTGTATTGATTTTTTACAATTAGGATGGGCGGGCCCGGATTGACGGCCGCGCGCGAGGTGCGCCGCGTCCTATTCCTGCTACGCTTTCGCATCGTCGACGACAAGAAAGGCCATGTTGAGAGAAACAACGACGGCTTTGTATTGTTTTTTGCAATTAGGATGGGAGGGCCCGGATGGAACCCATATCGGCCGGCCAGAGGGGGGGGGTAAGAGTATATTCTAACAAGGGATATGGATGCGGAGGAGGAGGAGGAGGAGGAGGAGGAGGAGGAGGAGGAGGAGGAGGAGGAGGAAGAGGAGGAGGAGCTGGAGCTGTGGGCACAGGCCATTTTGAGGTTGCCTAAGGTTCTTCGGTGGCCCTGGCAAATGCGACCGCGGACTGGCAGGAAATCCACAGTGATGTCCACAGTCGCTTTTCCTGTAGCTGGCTCTTCTTCTAGTGATGGGGAGGCGCCTCCTTGCCGGTGTCGTCATCGTCGCCGTCGTCGTCGTCGTCCTCCTCCTCCTCCTTCTCCTCAGCAGGCAGCTTGGCGAAGGGACTCCCAGGAGGCATCGTCCTTTCTGCGCGGGTTCTGGCTTTACGTGTGCCCCGATGCCGCTTGCACGACCCATTCTCTCTGCCAGCTCCAGCGGGGTTGGGCAGGTTCTTTGTTCCTGGACTGACTACTCCGGCTCCATCGATATTTGGTCGATCGGGTGCATCTTGGCTGAGATGTACACGCGGAAGCCGCTCTATCCAGGTCGGTGTGCAGGGAGCGCGCACGTAGTCGATGGGGTGAGACAGCCAAGCCGTAGGGGATGAATGCAGTGCGATCTTGAAGGCAAGCCAGCATCGGAGGGCGTGGGGCAGGGGAGGAGGGCGGGGGAGGAGGGTGGTGAGAGGGGACGGGGGCGAAGGGGGGAGGGGGAGAGAGAGAGAGAGAGGATCTCACCCTGGCAGCATTCGTCACTGTGCACCGGTGCTGCGTGGGCTGGCGGTCTCCCGCCAGGCCCAGCAAAATGGAACCGGCACGAGTCGGCACTCCAGTTTGCCGGTCAGGCGCCGACAGAGTGCCGTGTAATGGGCGCTTAATCGAGGCGGAGTGACGCACAGGGTGACGGACTTCTTCCGCAGGGGGGCGAGAGGGAGGGAGAGGTAGACGGAGAGCGGCCAGCACGCGGTTCACCGGCTTAGGTAAATCAGTGCGGAGTGATCCTGCCGAGTACGGCCGTGCATGGGCGAGCGGTGATCGGCGACGCGGATGAGCAAGCGGAAGCGGAAGAGGGGCAGTGGTGCCAATCACACAAGCATGAAAGTGTTGGGCAACCAGTCGAGCTGGCACTAGTGCCTCCTCCTCCTCTAAGTACAAAGCCTCCCTTTTGATTGTGCGTCGGACGATGGGGCCATGGTTTGGAGCCAGAATATGGTAAAACACTTCAGTCTGCGTCCAGAAAATAATCCCACCAGCCCTCTGGGCGTAGGTGGTCTAACGATATCTTTCTTTCTTCTTCCAAAGAAGCCCCTCTTCCCTTCGGGGAGGGGTACTCTCCCCCTCCCCTCCCAGTTTTTTTGGGGGGAGGGGCCGTGAGTCATCACAGGGCCGTTTTCGCTCAAGATGGTTCCAAGAGGGCCCCCGATGCTCCAAGATAGCCTCCAAGATGCTTCAAGATAGCGCGAGATCGCTCAAGATGACTTCCATCATGCCTCCAAGAGGCGCCAAGAGGGCCACAAGACGGTTCCAAGTGCTCTCGGCGACCCCTCTGGACCCCTCCACGAGCCCCAAATCCTTCAAACACCTGAGGGAAATTGTTGATGTTTGCTGTCTCGCCGTTTTGCTTCCGATGCGCTCGGGGGGCCTCAAGACGGCCCCAAGATGGCCCAAGAAGGTCCCAACAGGGGCCCCAGAGGTGCCCAGGACGGCACCAAGAGCGCCCAAGAGCGCCCCACAAGGGCCCCGAGAGGGTCCCAAGAGGCGGTTTTGAGGGCCCCAGGGGGGGGCACCTAGATTTGGACCCCCCCTTCTTTGATCGATAGCCTCCAATATGGCCCCAAGAGGCGCTCCAGGGCTCTCAAGAGAGCCCTAAGAGAGCCCCAAGGGAGCTCCACGAGGACCCCAAAAGGGCGCCAAGACGGCCCCAAGAGGGCCCCAAGACTCCCCCAAAGAGCCGTGGTCGTCGTCGTGGTCGTCGTCGTCTTCCTCGTCCTCCTCCCCTCGCTCCCACGCGGCCCCCAGGGATGGCCCGAAGAGGCCTTCCAAGGCCACCCCCTTGCTCCCAGAGATCTCTCTGTTGACGCTGGTTGCTCGCTCTGTTTCGATAGATGTGTCTCTTTGCCCCTTTTCCCGTCAGCTCTCAAGGTCAGGGTCTCTGAACGGGTTGGTGGGGATACTTTTTTGTTCGCGAGCGTCGCGGTCCAACCGCGCGCCGTCAAGAGAAAAGGCAACCGCGCCAAGCTCTAAATTCTAGACGCTTCGCGTAACCCCACCAGCCTCCGTAGCCACCCTCTGTCTCAAGCCGTCTCGGCTCAAGCCCGCCCCTCGCTCAGGTGCGCGCTCGGGTCGGGGCCATGTCCGCCCCCGGGGCGGCCCTCTCCGGGGCCGCGCTGCGCCGCCGTTAGCGGCTGGTGGCCGCGCGGCGGGACGCCCCGCGGGGGTTTGGCGGCCCTCCGCCGCCGTCGCCCTCGCCGCCGCCGCCGGCGCCGTCGGAGGCGGCCGCCGGCCGCCCCTGCTCGGCCCCCGCGGGCGCCGCCTGCGCCGCCTGCGCCGCCGGCGCCAGTGGCGCCGCGGGGGCGGCTGGCGCCGCGCCGGCCGCTTGCCCCGCCGCTGCCGCTGCCGCCGCCGCTGCCGCCGCCGCTGCGGGCTCCTCGCTGGCGCCGCCGCTGCCGGCTCCTCGCGGCGGCGGCGGTGGCGGAGGGCGCGGTGGCTGGCGCCGCCGCGGCCGCCCCCCCGCGGCCGCTGGCGCCGCGGCCGCCGCCTCTGCAGCCGCCGCCGCCGCCGCCACGGCTGCTGCCGCCGCCGCCGGCTCCCCTCCAGTGGCGGCGGCGGCCGGCGGCGCCGCCGCCGCCGGAGGGGAGCCGGCGGCGGCGCCGCGGCCAGCGTCACGGCCGCTTTCGCAGCGGCCGCTGCCGCCGCCGCTGCCGGCTCCCCGCCGGCGGCGGCGGCGGCGGAGGGTGCGGTGGCCGGCGCCGCGGCCGCCGCCGCTGCCGCTGCCGCCGCCGCCGCCGCCGCCGCCACACGGCCTGCCCGGCTGCCAGCTCCTCGGTTCGCCCGACGGCCAGCCCGTTGGCCCGCCCCGTGGCCAACCTGACTGCCTGCCCCACGGCCGGCCCCGCGGCCCGCACTACGGCCAACCCCGCGGCCAGCCCGACGGCCCGCCCCGTGGCCAACCTGACTGCCTGCCCCACGGCCGGCCCCGCGGCCCGCACTACGGCCAACCCCGCGGCCAGCCCGACGGCCCGCCCGACTGCCAGCCCCACGGTCAGTCCCGCGGCCAGCCTGGCCAGCCTCACGGCCAGCCCGACGGCCAGCCCCAGGGCCTACCCCACGGCCTACCCCACGGCCAACCCGACTGCCAGCCTCACGGCCAGCCCGACAGCCAGCTCGACTGCCAGCACCACGGCCTGCCCGACTGCCATCCCCACGGCTTGTCTCACGGCCAGCCTGGCCAGCCCCACGGCCAGCCAGGCGGCCGGCCCGACGGCCAGCCCCGTGGCCAGCCCGACGGCCAGCCCGACTGCCAGCCCCACGGCCTGCCCCACGGCCTGCCCGACGGCCAGCCCCACGGCGAGCCCCGCGGCCAACCCGACTGGCAGCCCCACGGCCAGCCCGACGGCCAGCGTGACTGCCAGCCCCACGGCCAGGCCGACTGCCAGCCCCCGGCCGGTCCGACGGCCAGCCCAACGGCCAGCCCCACGGCCAGCCTGGCGACCAGCCCCGCGGCCAGCCCGATTGCCAGCCCCGCGGCCGGCCCGACTACCAGCCCCACGGCCAGTCCCACGGCCAGCCCTGCCAGCCCCACGGCTAGCCGGACGGCCAGCCCGACGGCCAGCCCCGAGGCCAGCCCGATTGCCAGCCCCGCGGCCAGCCCCACGGTCAGCCCGACGGCGCGGCCGTCTGCCTCCACCCCCGTGTCGACGGCGTCTGCGAGCCGTCAGCACCCTACCAGAGAATCAGAGCGCCTGGCGTGCGCGTCAGTGTACACAGGGTTATGGTGAGCTCTCCTCCTTCTCCCCCCTCCTCTCACACCGTGCGCCTGGCGTGCACTTCCTTCCTTCCCCTCCTGCATCCTAATGCTGCAGCGGCTAGCCGCCACACCGGGGTGCCTACCGTGCCTGGCGTGCACTTCCCCTCCTCTCCTCCTGCATCCTTATGCCACAGCGGTTCGCTTCACACCGTGTGCCTGGCGTGCACTTCCTTCCCTCCCCTCCTGCATCCTAGTGCTGCAGCGGCTAGCTGCCACACCGGGGTGCCTACCGTGCCTGGCGTGCACTTCCCCTCCTCTCCTCCTGCATCCTTATGCCACAGCGGCAGCTGCTGCACCGGGGTGCTCTCCCTCCTGTTTCACAGGGTCATTCCCAGGCGGCTGGGGTTCGCTGCCCAACACTGCTTCCTGATGGCGTTCATGCGGTCTGGAATTCATGCAAAAATTCAGGGAGCGGTGGTGCGTCGCATTCTCTGAGGTCAGGTGCCCCCTGGCCTGCTCCTGGCTGGTGACGGCCCCTACTGATGACCGGAAGTTACCAGCCTGGACCCGATCCCTATCCTTATTTTGGGCATCGCCTCGTCACGATGGCGATCTCAGGGATTCCCTCAGCTTCTGAGGGTGCATCCCTAAAGATTGTCGTCGCCTTTTGGCGTGTCAATCTCAGTGATGGGGATAAGTTCGGGGCTGGTCAGGAAGGTTCCAGTGGGTCTCTCGCTACACTGCCTACCTTACGGTACCTGGACCTCGGGTTCGGCAAGTGTGGCTCTGTACGCTCGTTGGCCGACGTTCTCCTGTATGGACTTTCGCTTTTGACAAATGTTACATGTTTTACTGCCATGTGCAGTCTTGTCGGTGATGAGGTTGCCCCTCTTCACTCTTGCGCCGGCACGATGTTTTGGCATTTGTGTCGCCTACTTCACGGATGTCGTCTGGGTGTGCCTGTCGGTCTAGTTCGTCTCTGACGGTGCTGTTTGCCTGGCTCACACCGAGCGATCGACCTCTGCGTGCTTCTGGTCGCGCCGCCGCGCCATTCTGGCTGCGCTTACTTGTTGGTCGCCACCGGGATTTCCAACGCCACCGGGTTTGGGAGTATCGGTTCTGGCTCTCCTTCTGAGTGGCTGCCCGTTCGCTCACTTTGTTTGCCTTTCTGTTCCTGCTGCCTAGTCGCGGCCCAACTAGTGTTCGGACGGCTTTCGACCCGCCTCGCGAGCCTGTTGACCAAAGAGTAACCCCACCAGCTCATCCAGAAACAATGTCCAGAATAATTGCCTCGATCAGGGAAGTGGGCAGCACACAGAGGAAGGGTCCCCCAGTGGAGGCCTCTTGGAGCGTCTTGGGTGCCTCGGAGAGCTTCTTGGGGCCTCTCGGGGGTCTCTTGGGAGTATCTTGGAGGCCTCTTGGGCGCCTGTTAGGGCCTCGTGGGCGCCTCTTAGGGCCCTCTTGAAGCGCTCTTGGGAGCCTTGGGGGCGCTCTTGGGGCCATCTTGGGGGACATCGATCAAACAAGAAGCGAGCGTTAGTTAGCGTTGCCCCTCGGGAACCCAAGCGATCGCCTCTTGGGGCGCTCTTGGGGCGTTCTTGGAGCGCTCTTAGGCGCTCTTGGGGCCGTCTTGGGGCTCTCAGGAGCCTCTCTTGGAGCCCTCTTGGGCCATCATGGAGCCGTCTTTTGAGGCCTCGGATGGCCATCGGAAACGAAAAGGCGAGAAAGCCAAGCACACATACTTTCCTAAGGTTTTGGCTTCTTCGGGGCCTCCTGGGGGAGCTCTTTGGCCACTGGGAGCCGTCTTGGAACGGTCTTGGGGCATCTTGGAGCATCGTGGGAGCCATTATGAGACATCTTGGGATATCTGGAGCCATCTTGGAGATCATCTTGGGCTCTCCCAGGCGCTCTTGAAGTCATCTTAATCAATGCCCCCCCCATGAGGCCAACATGTGGCTAAAACCTGAGTGAAATCAATGATTTGGCATTCTCGCCGAGGCCTCTTGGAACATCTTGGGTGCCTCTGGGGGGTCTTTTGGCGCCTCTTGGGGGTCTCTTGGGAGCCTCTTGGGGGCATCCTGGGGTCCTGGCCACCTGTTGGGGCCCTCTTGGGGCACCCTTGGGAGCCTTGGGGGCCATCTTCGGGCCATCTTGGGTGAGATCGATCACAGGAGGGGGGTTGTCTAATTGCAGTCCTCCCCTCAGGAAGCCAAAATGTGACCAAAACCTAAGTAAAACCAATCATGTCGGCTTCCTCGCCGAGGCCGTTTTGGACGCTCCGACACCTCGCGGAACCCCCTGTCCAGGTACATGGGGAGGGGGTGGGGGGAGGGGTCAAGACGCCCTCCCCGCCCGCAAGCCGTCTCGCTCACTCCCACCCGCTCTCCCAACACGTACGTAGCACCCGAGCCTGGCCCAGCAGTCGTCTTTGGATGGGCAGCTACTGGTGGCCAATCCGTCGCCGCCGCCGCCTCCGCCGCCGCCGCCGCCGCCGCCCGCTGCCGCCGCCGGCACCCCGCCGCCGCCGCCGCCGCTGTCCGCCGCCGCCGCCGCCACCGCGCCGCCCGCCGCCGCCGCCCGCCGCCGCCGCCGCCGCCGCCCGCTGCGCCGCAGTCGCTGCCGCCACCGCTGCCGCCGCCGCCGCCGCCACCGCCGCCGCCGCCGCCGCTGCCGCCGCCGCCCCCGCCGCCGCCGCCGCCCCCGCCGCCGCCACCCCCGCAGCCGCCGCAGCCGCTGCCCCCGCCGCAGCCGCCGCAGCCGCCGCCGCCAAGTGTATTCTGTATTTTTTTGACAGGGATGGTAGGGGGAGGCCGCATCGGGTTCGCTGCGCATGCTCCGAATTAGGAGACAGAGTGTGTTTTATTTTGTTTGCTTACAAGGGAGGGTGGGGGCAGAGAGTGTTTTGTATTGTTTTTTGCAAGGGATGGTGGGCGGGGCCGCATGGACCTGGGTTGGCTCCCGGTCGCCTGGGGGAGGGGGTAATAAGGAACAGTGATAAACCCCTCCCCGAAAGGGAAGAAGGAGGGGTGAAAGAGGAAACGCCCTAAAGGAAACGCCCTAAACCACCGACGCCCACAGCGACCGAAGCGTTGGGTCTGCATGTGTCAACCACCGATCCAGCAACCCATCGCAACCGACATGCGGTGCCGCGTGCCCCCTTCCACGTGGGCGCGCAGCCGTCGATAGGACGTTGAACCCGGTGCTGGGGGGAGTGCCTTCCATCCAGGGAGCGCCTGGTCGGCAAGGGGCCCTGGCCGCGCAAGAGCCGCACCTCGGGGCGAATCTTGGCCCACGAACGAGGGGTGGCATCCAGCGGCCAAGGGCCACGGCGCGAGAGCCCGTCCAGCCAGGTAGGCATTTGGGCTGGTGGGGATACTTTTTCCCAACCATCCTGTGGTGTTGGGTCCTCGTTTTGAAGAGACGGTGCCCCGCGTTCCTCCTCCTTCCTCCCGCTGCCCCCTCCCTCCCCCTTGCCTCTGCCCTCCGCATGTCTCTGTTTCGGCACATCCCTCACGCGTTCCGTGGCCCCATAGGGAGCTCCACCGAAGGCCCCAGTGGCAGGGTCCGCATGGCGGCCCCGCATTTTGGCGCACCCCTCACACGGTTCGTGGCCCCATAGGGAGCTCCACCGAAGGCCCCAGTGGCAGGGTCCGCATGGCGGCCCCGCCCCATTTTGGCGCACCCCTCACACGGTTCGTGGCCCCATAGGGAGCTCCACCGAAGGCCCCAGTGGCAGGGTCCGCATGGCGGCCCCGCTCCATTTTGGCGCACCCCTCACACGGTTCGTGGCCCCATAGGGAGCTCCACCGAAGGCCCCAGTGGCAGGGTCCGCATGGCGGCCCCGCCCCATTTTGGCGCACCCCTCACACGGTTCGTGGCCCCATAGGGCGAGGATGATGCCCACAATTGCGGTATTAACAATTGCTTATGGTTGGGTCTTTCGCCAGGCTAATTTTGGTCGCGGCCGCGAGCGAAGAGCGCAGGCGGCGAACAGGGTGTCCGGGCCGACGGACAAGCCTAATTAGCTACAAGACGCGCCGCAAGCCGGCCGGCCCACTCACAAAGCAGCCGCGGGGCTGCGTGGGAAGCTGACGGCAGGGGACATCCTGGGAAGCTCGGGCACGTGCAGTCTGACAAAATGTAGAGAAATTCGTTGCCTGCCGTGAGGCATAACCCACACAGAGACATGACGTGCACCGGGGCTGACGTGCCCGTCATACTGGGTGGGGGCAGAAAGCGCTGCTGGGGATACGCGAAGCGGGTGGGGATACTTTTTTTGGTCGGCGGCCGCGCGACTACGGTCTGGCGGCAACAAGCGTGAAGCTGGTGGGGATACGTTTTTTTTCCAACCATCCTGTGGTGTTGGGTCCTCGTTTTGAAGAGACGGTGCCCCGCGTTCCTCCTCCTTCCTCCCGCTGCCCCCTCCCTCCCCCTTGCCTCTGCCCTCCGCATGTCTCTGTTTCGGCACATCCCTCACGCGTTCCGTGGCCCCATAGGGAGCTCCACCGAAGGCCCCAGTGGCAGGGTCCGCATGGCGGCCCCGCATTTTGGCGCACCCCTCACACGGTTCGTGGCCCCATAGGGAGCTCCACCGAAGGCCCCAGTGGCAGGGTCCGCATGGCGGCCCCGCATTTTGGCGCACCCCTCACACGGTTCGTGGCCCCATAGGGAGCTCCACCGAAGGCCCCAGTGGCAGGGTCCGCATGGCGGCCCCGCATTTTGGCGCACCCCTCACACGGTTCGTGGCCCCATAGGGAGCTCCACCGAAGGCCCCAGTGGCAGGGTCCGCATGGCGGCCCCGCATTTTGGCGCACCCTCACACGGTTCGTGGCCCCATAGGGAGCTCCACCGAAGGCCCCAGTGGCAGGGTCCGCATGGCGGCCCCGCATTGGGGCGCACCCCTCACACGGTTCGTGGCCCCATAGGGAGCTCCACCGAAGGCCCCAGTGGCAGGGTCCGCATGGCGGCCCCGCATTTTGGCGCACCCCTCACACGGTTCGTGGCCCCATAGGGAGCTCCACCGAAGGCCCCAGTGGCAGGGTCCGCATGGCGGCCCCGCCCCATTTTGGCGCACCCCTCACACGGTTCGTGGCCCCATAGGGAGCTCCACCGAAGGCCCCAGTGGCAGGGTCCGCATGGCGGCCCCGCCCCATTTTGGCGCACCCCTCACACGGCTCGTGGCCCCATAGGGAGCTCCACCGAAGGCCCCAGTGGCAGGGTCCGCATGGCGGCCCCGCCCCATTTTGGCGCACCCCTCACACGGTTCGTGGCCCCATAGGGAGCTCCACCGAAGATGATGCCCACAATTGCGGTATTAACAATTGCTTATGGTTGGGTCTTTCGCCAGGCTAATTTTTTTTTGATCTGCGGCCCAAAGGACGGTTCCAGAGGGCGGGTCAATGACGCTGGTGGGGATACGCGAAGCGTGAAGAATTCAGCCTGCGGGAAGGGATAAGTGGGAGGGAATGGATCTCAGATATGGCGCGATTGTTCCTAGCTTGCCTGTTTTCCCTTTGCCCCTCTTACCCCTCTCCAGTTTCTTGCTATCCAGAGCGACCAGTGTCATGGTCCTCATCGCGGGGTTCAGAAAGAAGCTGGTCAATCAGTGTGCGGTTGATTGGGTTCGAGGATGTGGATACACAGCGCACTCAAGCTCGTTCGACATTGCACGTAACAGTGCTTGGATGCAGTGTGGTTGCGTTTTTGCTGGCGGTGTGGTGCTGTGAGAGCATTCGCTGCCTTTTTTTCGCGCTCGGCGCCGACTCCATACAAGGAATGGCGTCCTGCATATATTCAAGCGTGTATTCAATTTCGCTGACATCGTCGTGAGGTTCTCGCATGCAATTACGCACTGGGCTGGCTGAGGCCACAACACGCAGCACCAGCTGGATCTGATCATCAAGTATTTAGGCTCACAATATGGTCCGCTTGTTTGTATGAGTACGGCAAGTGGTAGGTACGACTATCTGTTGTGGCAGAGTCTGCATGTGCGTGCGCGACTTGATCCCGCGCGCATGGAATACGTGTTTACGTCTCTTAAGACCTCTCAGTTCTTATTCAACCGTTACATATACCATACCCGCTGCACGAGATGCTCCACACACGCAGCTACGAACAGGACATGTGATGCTGTCCTCTGAAGTGCATGTTCCATCTTTTAGGCGGACGCATGTCGGAGTCCTGTGGCTGAAAATATCTTGGCCTATCTGTGAACTGTAGACATGTACGATCGGTCTCTTTCGCGCGGATGTGGCGATGTTGTTTTCACGCACTGGCCGTCCGCTCGACTCGTCAGGCTTTTGATGGCAAGCTGGATGCCCAACCCAGGCTCGCCAGAGCACGACGAGCTGATGAAGATACCCAACGAGAAGTGCCGCAACTTCATCCAGGCACTGCCCGACACCGTGTGCAGATCATTCGACGAGGCGAGCCCGCGTGTGCCGAAGCGGCGGCCACTAGAGCAGTGTGGGCATATCGCGCCGTCGGCAGCAGGGCAGGCATGCCAACGGTTCCGCTCAGTGTCGTCGGCCGGCAGACCTCGACGAGGCCCTGCCAGTTTCAGTCTCAGATCCTACGCCACTCCCTCGACGTCGCGGCCTCTTCAGAACCGCGGTCGTGTTGGACCGAAGTAGCAGGGGCCACCAATTAGTTGAGTCCAGGGGTGACGTCACAGCAGTCCTTACAAGCCGCATCAGTCTCGACTTGTGGGGTGGATCCTCGAAGCTGGCCGCTGAAACAAAGCTGAGTCGGAAAAGGAGTGAGGCGCTTTTTCCTCCAACGACCTTTTTTTTCGCGACGCGAGCACCTGGGGATCACGACCCCTTCCCAGGGTTGAATTTTCCATTTTGAGCCGTTTTTTGACGGCCCTAGGACCTGGGAGCGGCCAAATCTGCGACCTTCGTGCGAACCCTACCACTGCGGGTGCACTCGACGCTGGGGTATCGGACACCCCCACTGGGGTTCACTTGACTGCAGACATCACTTGACTTTTCAGAAATCTGACTTGCAGGGGCAGCGTTCACATGCGGTGAACCATCGAAAACGCAGGAACCCACGGCAGTCGCCATTTTTTGGCGTCGCCTGGATCTGGGAATGCACGGCCCGTCTTCCAGCCAGTGCCTCCCGACCGTCCGGCCTGCGGCGCCCCTGCCCCGCTGGCGCGAGATCTACCCCGGCGTGATGCCGCCCGAGGCGAGGGCTCTGCTGGACCAGATGATGAGGTGGGCTCCTGCTTGTCTGAGGCGGGAATTTGTACATGGCCACCGCCTGGAGGATCAATTTTCGGGGACCTCGGCAGGCGGTGGATATGGATATATGCGGGCCCCTGGGGCCCAAACATATCCGTATCCACCGCCCGCTGGGGTACCAGGACGTCGGTTCCCAGGCGGTGGATGTGTATAAATCCCCGCCTCGCATGCTTCGGCGGCGCCCACAGGGGCGTGGCGCGAGGGGGGCGGCCTTCTGAGATGGCGGCAGATGTGACGAGGTGAGCCTTCCCCGCATGCTTCGGCGGCGCCCGCAAGGGGGTGCCGCAAAGGGGGGCGGCCTTCTGAGAAGGCCGCGGGGCTTCTGAGACGGCAGGCGGGGCTTCTTAGCAGCGCCCAGCTTCTAAGAAACTTTCTTGGAAGCCTCCAGGGCCTTCTAATTCAGAGGGCCCTTCTGAGAACCCCCTCCGCCTTCCCAGTAAGCCGCCCCCCTCGCTCCGCCCTCTGTGGACGCCGCTAACAGCGGCTTCAGCGTCCAGTTCGCTCCCATCTGTCCAGCTCGACGCCGATTCCAGCCGGCCCGTTCCGATCCGGTCCCGGTGCTCCGTCGAGCCGATGCGGCCAGGCTCGATACCCGCGTGGCGTGCATCCTGATTGAGCCAATCTGGTTTGGGGTCGACTCCGTGCCAGTGCAGTTTGATTCGACGTACGTTTCGATTCGATCCGAGTTTCCGATTCTGTGCTGACTGATCCTGCTGCTTCTACTCTTGTGATCTGCTGGGGCATGTGATGGGGTGGGCCTTTCCCTTCCGTTGCTTTCCCGCTGGTGTAGGGGAAACGTAAGCCTCGAGTCTGCCAGAGCTTGGACATGCCGCCGCTTTGTGACGGCCCCAGTACGAATTCTGACGGGCGAGCTTCCTCTAAATTCTTCAGCGGGAGCTCGCGCCAGATTTCGGACCAGGCCCCCCATTTTCTGTACGGCCCCGCTGGGCAAGTTCGAATCCTCGAACTCGAGTCTGACACATCCCAGGTGGTGCTCTGACAGGACAGGTGATGGGGTGGGGTCACTTTTGCCTGAAAACACATGCTTTTGACATGTTTTGTCAGAGGCGGGAGGAGGAAGAGGAGGAGGAAGAGGAGGAGGAGGAGTAGGAGAAGGAGCAGGAAGAGGAGGAACAGTGTAAGTCCAAGACGCATCACCGATGTTGCAATAAGCCCTCCTTCCAAGTTCCCTTTCCATAGGCCACAGGTCTCTCAGAGAATTTTTTTCAATTGCTGGGAGTGGTCCATGAGAAGACAACCGTCTGAGAACCCTCAATCCTGCCAAAACACTGAACGCCACGGATCAATATAACTCTTGCGTCCTGGCAACCTTGCATCGTGCCAGAACACCAGCCTTGAGATTTCAACACCACAAATCAGCCTGATTGTTGCGTCCTGACCTTCCAGAATCGTGCTGGAACGCCATTCCTGGGTTTCCGACCATACGAATCCTTGAAGCTGTAGCAAACTTTTGAGACGACTGTGCGCGGCGCTAAGGCGAGAGCCACATTCTGAAAAAGCAACCGCCCTCCATCTTCGTAATTGCCACAACCTTTTGAGAAGAATGTGCGCGGTGCTAAGGCGAGAGCCACATGTTGAAAACGACCCACCCTCCATCCATGAAGCTAGTGCAGGCTTTTAAGACGAATGTGCGCGGCCCTGCGGCGAGAGCCACATTTTGAAAACGACCCACCCTCCATCCGTGAAGCTGTTGCGAACTTTTAAGATGAATGTGCGGGGCGCTTAGGCGATAATCACATTCTGAAAAGGATCCGCCCTTCATCCGTGAAGCCGCTGCAAGCTTTTAAGCCGAATGTGCGCGGCACCAAGGCGAGAACCATATTTTGAAAACGACCCGCCCTCCATGTGTGAAATTGCTGCGATCTTTTAAGAGGAATGTGCGCGGCGCTGAAGCGAGAACCACAGTTTGAAAACGACGCATAGTTCAAGTTTTCTGATGATGAAAGGCGAGGCAGTCTCAGGCGAGACGCCCGGTCCGCCGTGCTGACCCGTCTGAGGGTGCGACAGGGAGGAATCATTCCCAACCCTCCCTTGGTTGGGTTCTCGTTTTGGATGGAGCACCGTGGTCTCCATCACTCCTTCCCCCTCCTTCCTCCCTCCAGTCTCCTCCTCGTCGTTTTCTTTCTCTTACTCCCTGCCTCGTGGGCTCCTGGGAGGTCCAGCACCATAGACCTCGCCGTCCCCTGGGGGGCTGCGATCTGCGAAGCTGTCGCCACTTTCGTGGGCTCCTGGGAGGTCCAGCGGAGGGGTGTCCCACGCAGATCACCATGAGACCTCGCCGTCCCCTGGGTGGCTGCGATCTGCGAAGCTGTCGCCACTTTCGTGGGCTCCTGGGAGGTCCAGCGGAGGGGTGTCCCACGGGGATCACCATGAGACCTCGCCGTCCCCTGGGTGGCTGCGATCTGCGAAGCTGTCGCCACTTTCGTGGGCTCCTGGGAGGTCCAGCGGAGGGGTGTCGCACGGGGATCACCATGAGACCTCGCCGTCCCCTGGGTGGCTGCGATCTGCGAAGCTGTCGCCACTTTCGTGGGCTCCTGGGAGGTCCAGCGGAGGGGTGTCCCAAGGGGATCGCCATGAGACCTCGCCGTCCCCTGGGGGCTGCGATCTGCGAAGCTGTCGCCACTTTCGTGGGCTCCTGGGAGGTCCAGCGGAGGGGTGTCGCACGGGGATCACCATGAGACCTCTCCGTTCCCTGGGGGGCTGCGATCTGCGAAGTTGTCGCCACTATCGTGGGCTCCTGGGAGGTCCAGCGGAGGGGTGTCCCACGGGGCTCACCATGTGACCTCGCCGTTCCCTGGGGGACTGCGATCTGCGAAACTGTCGCCACTTTCGTGGGCTCCTGGGAGGTCCAGCAGAGGGGTGTCCCACGGGGATCACCATGAGACCTCTCCGTTCCCTGGGTGGCTGCGATCTGCGAAACTGTCGCCACTTTCGTGGGCTCCTGGGAGGTCCAGCGGAGGGGTGTCCCACGGGGGTCACCATCCGACCTCGCCGTCCCCTGGGGGGCTGCGATCTGCGAAACTGTCGCCATTTTCCTGGGCTCCTGGGAGGTCCAGCAGAGGGGTGTCCCACGGGGATCACCATGAGACCTCGCCGTCCCCTGGGTGGCTGAGATCTGCGAAGCTGTTGCCACTTTCGTGGGCTCCTGGGAGGTCCAGCGGAGGGGTGTCCCACGGGGATCACCATGAGACCTCTCCGTTCCCTGGGGGGGCTGCGATCTGCGAAGTTGTCGCCACTTTCGTGGGCTCCTGGGAGGTCCAGCGGAGGTGTGTCCCACGGGGATCACCATGAGACCTCTCCGTTCCCTGGGGTGGCTGCGATCTGCGAAGCTGTCGCCACTTTCGTGGGCTCCTGGGAGGTCCAGCGGAGGGGTGTCGCACGGGGATCACCATGAGACCTCGCCGTCCCTGGGGGGCTGCGATCTGCGAAACTGTCGCCACTTTCGTGGGCTCCTGGGAGGTCCAGCGGAGGGGTGTCCACGGGGACCACCATGAGCCGTCCCCTGGGGGGCTGCGATCTGCGAAGTTGTCGCCACTTTCGTGGGCTCCTGGAGGTCCACGGAGGGGTGATCACCATGAGACCTCGCCGTCCCCTGGGTGGCTGCGATCTGCGAAGCTGTCGCCACTTTCGTGGGCTCCTGGGAGGTCCAGCGGAGGGGTGTCGCACGGGATCACCATGAGACCTCGTCGTCCCTTGGGGGGCTGCGATCTGCGAAGTTGTCGCCATTTTCGTGGGCTCCTGGAGGTCCAGCGGAAGGGTGTCGCACGGGGATCACCATGAGACCTCGCCGTCCCCTGGGGGCTGCGATCTGCGAAGCTGTCGCCACTTTCGTGGGCTCCTGGGAGGTCCAGCGGAGGGGTGTCGCACGGGGATCACCATGAGACCTCTCCGTTCACTGGGGGGCTGCGATCTGCGAAACTGTCGCTACGTTCGTGGGCTCCTGGGAGGTCCAGCGGAGGGGTGTCCCACGGGGCTCACCATGTGACCTCGCCGTTCCCTGGGGGACTGCGATCTGCGAAACTGTCGCCACGTTCGTGGGCTCCTGGGAGGTCCAGCAGAGGGGTGTCCCACGGGGATCACCATGAGACCTCTCCGTTCCCTGGGTGGCTGCGATCTGCGAAACTGTCGCCACTTTCCTGGGCTCCTGGGAGGTCCAGCAGAGGGGTGTCCCACGGGGATCACCATGAGACCTCGCCGTCCCCTGAGTGGCTGCGATCTGCGAAACTGTCGCCACCTTCGTGGGCTCCTGGGAGGTCCAGCGGAGGGGTGTCCCACGGGGATCACCATGAGACCTCTCCGTTCCCTGGGGGGCTGCGATCTGCGAAGTTGTCGCCACTTTCGTGGGCTCCTGGGAGGTCCAGCGGAGGGGTGTCCCACGGGGATCACCATGAGACCTCTCCGTTCCCTTGGGTGGCTGCGATCTGCGAAACTGTCGCCACTTTCGTGGGCTCCTGGGAGGTCCAGCGGAAGGGTGTCGCACGGGGATCACCATGAGACCTCGCCGTCCCCTGGGTGGCTGCGATCTGCGAAGCTGTCGCCACTTTCGTGGGCTCCTGGGAGGTCCAGCGGAGGGGTGTCGCACGGGGATCACCATGAGACCTCGCCGTCCCCTGGGGGGCTGCGATCGATCGTGGGCGAATGCTGTCGCCACTTTTCCGTGGCTCCTGGGAGGTCCATGCGAATGGTGTCGCGCCGGGATCACCATGGAGACCCTCGCCGTCCCCTGGTGCTGCGATCATTGGCGAAGCTGTCGCCACTTTCGTGGGCTCCTGGGAGGTCCAGCGGAGGGGTGTCGCACGGGGATCACCATGAGACCTCGCCGTCCCCTGGGGGGCTGCGATCTGCGAAACCGTCGCCACTTTCGTGGGCTCCTGAGAGGTCCAGCGGAAGGGTGTCACACGGGGATCACCATGAGACCTCGCCGTCCCCTGGGTGGCTGCGATCTGCGAAGTTGTCGCCACTTTCGTGGGCTCCTGGGAGGTCCAGCGGAGGGGTGTCGCACGGGGATCACCATGAGACCTCGCCGTCCCCTGGGTGGCTGCGATCTGCAAAACTGTCGCCACTTTCGTGGGCTCCTGGGAGGTCCAGCGGAAGGGTGTCGCACGGGGATCACCATGAGACCTCGCCGTCCCCTGGGTGGCTGCGATCTGCGAAACTGTCGCCACTTTCGTGGGCTCCTGGGAGGTCCAGCGGAGGGGTGTCGCACGGGGATCACCATGAGACCTCGCCGTCCCCTGGGTGGCTGCGATCTGCGAAACTGACGCCAACTATTTTTCGTGGGCTCCTGAGGGAGGTCCACGGAGGGGTCGCGTTGTCCGCACGGGGATCACCATGAGACCTCGCCGTCCCCTGGGGGGCTGCGATCTGCGAAGCTGTCGCCACTTTCGTGGGCTTCTGGGAGGTCCAGCGGAGGGGTGTCGCACGGGGATCACCATGAGACCTCGCCGTCCCCTGGGTGGCTGCGATCTGCGAAACTGTCGCCACTTTGGTGGGCTCCTGGGAGGTCCATCGGAGGGTGTCGCACGGGGATCACCATGAGACCTCGCCGTCCCCTGGGGGGCTGCGATCTGCGAAGCTGTCGCCACTTTCGTGGGCTCCTGGGAGGTCCAGCGGAGGTGCGTCCCACACAGATCACCATGAGACCTCGCCGTCGCGATCCGCGAAACTGTCGCCACTTTCGTGGGCTCCTGGGAGGTTCAGCGGAGGGGTGTCCCACGGGGCGCCGACGCGTCACGGGTCGGCGCTGGCCATTATGACGATGGTGTTGACGATGATGATGTTGATGTTGACGATGATGATACTGATGCTGCTGCTGATGCTGCTGCTGCTGAGGATGATGATGGTGATGATGATGACGATGATGATGATGACGATGATGATGCTGTTGATGATGCTGCAGATGATTTCGACGATGCTGATGCTGCTGCTGCTGATGATGATGCGGATGCCGATGCTGATGCTGACGATGATGATGCTGATGGTGCTGTTGTCGTCGATGATGATGCTGATGCTGCTGATCATGGTGATAGTGATGATGCGGATGATGCCGCTGCTGCTGCTGATGATGATGATGAGGAGGGGGATGAACGTGATGACGAGGTCGATGATGATGGTGACGGTGATAGTGATTGTGTTGGCGAGGATGATGCTGGTCATGTGGACGTTGTGATGGTGATACTGATGATGGTGATGGTGATGATGATGATGCTGATGATGCTGTTGATGATGCTGCTGATGATGATGCCATTGCTGATGATGCTGTTGATGATGAGGCTGATGCTGATGCTGATGCTGACGATAATTCTGCTGATGGTGTTATTGTCGCTGATGGTGATGATGATGCTGTCCATGGTGATGGTGATGGTGCTGATGATGACGCTGCTGCTGCTGATGATGAGGATGATGATGACCGTGATGACGATGTCGATGCTGATGGTGTCTGTGATGGTGATGGTGTTGGCGAGGATGATGCTGGTCATGTTGAAGTTGTGATGGCGATGCTGATGCTGATGATGATGCTGATGATGCTGATGATGATCCGGATGATGATCCTGATGATGATGATGCCGCTGCTGATGATGATGACGATGATGATGATGCTGATGGGATGGTCTTGTTTTCGCCAGCGATGACGATGACGAGGATGCTGACGATGCTGATGATGCTGATGATGATGCTGATGATGCTGGCGATGGTGGTGCTGCTGCTGCTGATGATGATGATGCTGATGCTGATGCTGATGATGATGCTGGTGGTGGTGGTGTTGGTGGTGCTGGTGATGCATGGTGCTGCTGCTGATGATGACGATGCTGATGCTGATGCTGCTGCTGATGATGATGAGGAGGAGGCGGAGGAGGAGGAGGATGAGGATGGTGCCACGGCGTCATGTCATGCCGCTCCAATCCATGTGATGCGCGTCATTTGTGATCAGGTCAGTGATGCGCATGCCGAGCAAGGAGTATATAGCATTCTCCAGGGGCGCCGTACGAGCTGCGATAGGGACCGACAGAGCGCCCAGGAGCAGTCGCCGCCCACGTATCCCACATTGGCGTCCTTACACAGGTGACCAGTTCATCCAGACGCCTTGTGACGCTTTCACCAGTTGCAGTTTCACCCAGACCCCCTCGAGTCGTGAAACCATCACGACTGAAGTCTTTTTCGAGCGTTGCTGGACGTCTGGATTTCTGGGGGTCCACGTGATGAACAAATCACGGCATCGGGGTCTGGGTTCTATGTTCTGAATCGGGGCCAGCCTTGAGGCGATTTGGGCGTTGCGCCGTGCCGCCAGGGAGCGGAGGTGCGAATGAGTTGTGCCAGTCCTCTTCTTCGCGCCCCTTGTTCCGCGAGGTGGGACCCGCAGAGGCGCATCACCGTCGCGGAGGCGTGCCAGGGGCCGCCCTTTGCTGCAGTCGAATGGTAACTGGCGCAGGCACGGGCGTTCGGAGGGCCGTGCGGGCTTCTTGGGTCGGCGCTATGCCCCCCCCCCCCCCCTTGGCGGCGCCTCTGGCGCCGCCCCTGGCGCGTTCGCGGCGCTGCAGGGAGGTGGAGTTCGCGCCGATCCAACAGCCGCGCGGACCTCCGAACGTTTCTGTTTTTGTATTGTCCCCCCCGCCCCCCCCTCAGTGCACAGCAGTTCCCGCCGCCTGCTCTCTTCTCCCCGTGGCACGCCCTCAGATCGCAACGTGTGCTCGGTTTTTCCCAACCATCCTGTGTTCGGGTCCTCGTTATCATCGTTTCGAAGGGACAGCGCCCCGCGTTCCTCCTACTCACTCCTCCTCCCCCTCCTCTGTCCTTTCCTTTCCGTCCTTGCCTTTGCCCCCTGCGTGTCTTCGTCGCCATCATTCTCATCACCACCATCATCATCACCATCACCATAAGCATCATCACCATCATCAACATCACCACCATCATGAACAGCATCATCATTATCATCGTCATCATCATCACCACCACCCGTCATCATCATCACTATCGTCATCACCATCATCATCACCATCATCAGCAGCATCATCATCATTATCATTATCATTACCGTTACCAGCATCATCACCACCATCATCACCATCACCACCACCATGACCATCATCATCAACATCATCATCAACATCATCATTATAATCATCATCATCAGCATCAGCATCAGCATCAGCATCATCATCTTAGCATCATCATCATCATCCTCATCCTCATCCTCATCCTCATCGTCATCACCAGCAGCATCAGCATCAGCATCAGCGTCAGCATCAGCATCAGCATCAGCATCAGCATCAACATCATCATCATCATCATCATCGTCATCGTCATCGTCATCGCCATCGTCATCATCGTCATCATGCACACATTTGTATGTATGTATGTATGTATGTATGTATGTATGTATGTATGTATGTATGTGTGTATGTGTGTATGTATGTGTGTACGTACGTAAGTATGCATATATGTATGTATGTATAGGTATATATATATACATATATATATGTATATGCATATGTATGTGTATATCTATACGTATATGTATATTTATATGTATAGGTATGTGTATATGTATATGTATTTTTATATATGTATATGTTTATATATGTATTTGTATATGTATATGTATAGGTATATGTATATGTATATGTATATGTACATGTACATATACATATCTATATATATATGTATATGTACATGCATATGCATATGTATGTGTATATGTATATGCATAGGTATATGCATATGTATATGTACATGTATATGTATAGTTATAGGTATATGTATATGTATGTGTATATGTATATATATATATGTATGTGTATATGTATATGTATATGTATATGTATATGTATATGTATGTGTTTATGTATATGTATATGTATATGTATATGTATATGTTTATGTATATGTATATGTATATGTATATGCATATGTATATGTATATGTAAATGCATATGTATAATTAATGTATATGTAATGTCTATGTATATATACATATCTATGTTATGTATGTATGTATTTCTGTATGGTATGTAAGTATGTAATGATATGTATGTATGAATATATATATATATTCCATATGGATTTCCTATGTTTTTATGAGCCCGGGCGGGGGGAAAACCCGTCACCCCCCCCCCCAAAACCAGACTCCCGGGATCTGGGGCTTTGGGACCCTCTGGACGGGCCTCGAAGCGGCCACCGGGCCTCGCAGGGCGTTTTGCCAAGCCTTCCCAGCACACCTAGGGCGATCAGGGGGGTCATCGGAGACGTCCCAGAGACCACCAAGACAGCACAAGAGCGCTCCAAGAGTGACCGACGTGACCTCAAGATGGCCCAAGAGGCCTCCAGCACGGCACCAAATAGGCCTCCAAGAGCACTCCCAAGAAGGCCCCCCGAGGCAAAAATCATTGATTTCAATTAGTTTTTGGTGAATTGTGGGGTTCTCCTCTTTTCGGCTTCCCGACGCTCCAAGACGGCGGTCTTCTGGGCGTCCGAAGCCGCCTGGGAGGCTCCAACATCGCCCCACAACCATCCGAAAGGGCTTCCAGGCAGTCCGAGAGAGCCCCAAAACGACACAACGCGGGTCCAAGATGGCCCTCAGAGAGCCCCATGGCGGCCCAAGATGGCCCAAAGACACCCTCCGAAGAATTCCAGATCGTGATTCGGTCGTTCAGGGAGACCGCGGTTGGAGGCAGGGTGGCCCGAGGAAGCCCCCAGAGGCCCCCAGAATACGCCCAGGAGGCCTCCAGAAGACCTTAAGAAAGCTTGAAACAACTTTTGTGAGGCCCCCAGAGGCTCTCCAAGGAGGAGCCTCCGCAAAAAAAGCTGAGGAGAATGGGGAGAATGCGCAGGGCATGGCGAACATAAAGAAAAAGAAGCATGGAGGAAGGATAACGAATAACATTATTATAGCGGCGATGCCGGAAAAGGCAACCAGGAGTTATCGCTAATTGTCGGCTAGACCTTCCTGCTAGTCCGCCTGCATGCCAAACTTCAAGTACCAAGGTGCATGGCGCGAAGCGCCACTGCAAACTTGTATATATATACATCTATATATATATATATGTGTGTATATATATATATATAGCCCGCTGAACCCACCATGAACCCTTCATTCCTCAAAAACTATATGAATTCCTATAGTTTCCGTGCATTTTCGGAGAGCCCCGGCGGGACCCCCCCAGAAGCCCCCCCCAAGGCCGTTCCCCCGTCATCATCATCATCATCATCATCATCATCATCATCATCATCATCATCATCATCATCATCATCATCATCATCATCATCATCATCATCATCATTCTTCACAAGCATCATGGAGGCTCATCATGCAGTACTCAATTCATCCGAACCGTTTGGGTCAAGTGTCAGTCTCGGCGCTTTTCTTTCTCCCGCATCCCAGATCCCCGGCGGGTGGCATCGAACTCTCCCAAGCATGTGGGCACGGTGCTGTTTTCTATGTGTTCCCCACCCGATAGTCAACAGGACTCCCTCCCCACACTGCAACTTGAAAATAATCCTCACTGATCCACACCCTCTCGTCCACAATCCACACCTCCGTATAGACCCACTCACCGACTCCAACACACCCTCCGGTACTCAACATGCTCCCTCCCCAAGCTGAAACTTCCTCCGTCTCCATACTCCATCATCCTCCATCCACGTCCACAACAATCCGTACACATTCCACTCCACCCGTCCTCCAACACCCCCTCCGACGTACTACAACAGGCTCCCTACACCCAAACTGATCTTGAAAATATCCTCTAACTCCACAACCTCCGTCCACTCCACACCTTCCGTATACTCCACTCCACCCGTCTCCAACACACCCTCCGGTACTCAACAGGCTCCCTCCCCAAGCTGAACTTGAAAATCTCCTTCTACTCCACAGCCTCCGTCCACTCCACAACTTCCGTACACTCAACTCCACCCGTCTCCAAAACACCCTCCGGTACTCAACAGGCTCCCTCCCCAAACTGAACTTGAAAATATCCTTCTACTCCACAACCTCCGTCCACTCCACACCTTCCGTATACTCCACTCCACCCGTCTCCAACACACCCTCCGGTACTCAACAGGCTCCCTCCCCAAGCTGAACTTGAAAATATCCTTCTACTCCACAGCCTCCGTCCACTCCACACCTTCCGTATACTCCACTCACCCGTCACACAACACACCCTCACGGTACTCAACAGGAAGAGGCCCCTTAGCCCCAAGATTGATTTTGAAAATTCCTTCTACTCCACACCTCCGTTCACTCCACAACCTCCCGTATACTCACTCCCACCCCCTCCAACACACCCTCCCCGATATTCAACAAGGCTCCTCCCCAAGCTGAACTTGTAAATATCCTTCTACTCCACGGCCTCCGTCCACTCCACACCTTCCGTATACTCCACTCCACCCGTCTCCAACACACCCCCCCGATACTCAGCAGGCTCCCTCCCCAAGCTGAGCTTGAATATATCCTTCTACTCCACACCATCCGTATACTCCACTCCACCCGACTCCAACACAAAACCTTCCCGATACTCCAGACATGATCCCCTCCCACAGCTGAACTTGAAAATATCCTTCTAACTCCACACACTCACGTCACACTCCACACCTTCCGAATACCCACCCACCCGTCTCAACACACCCTCCGGTTCTCAACAGGCTCCCTCCCCAAGCTGAACTTGAAAATATCCTTCTACTCCACACCCCTCCGTCCAACTCCACACCTTCCGTTACTCCACTCCACCTCCTCTCCCACACACCCTCCCGATACTCAACAGGCCGTCCCTCCCGCAAGCTGAACTTGAAAATACTCCTTCCACTCCACACCATCCGTCCACTCCAGAACTCCGTACACGCCACTCCACCCGTCACCAAAACACCCTCCCGATACTCAACAGTCTCCCTCCCCAAGCTGAAACTTGAAATATCCTTCTACTCCAACCCTCCGTCCACATCCAACAACTTCCGAGTACTCCACTTCCACCCCTCTCCAACACACCCTCCCGATACTCAACAGGCTCCCTCCCCAAGCTGAACTTGAAAATATCCTTCTACTCCACAGCCTCCGTCCACTCCACACCTTCCGTATACTCCACTCCACCCGTCTCCAACACACCTTCCCGATACTCAACAGGCTCCCTCCCCAAGCTGAACTTGAAAATATCCTTCTACTCCATAGCCTCCGTCCACTCCACAACTTTCGTACACTCCACTCCACCCGTCTCCAACACACCCTCCCGATACTCATCCTCCCTCCGTCTCTTTGTCATCTTCCTCATGTGCACGCGCGCGCGCTCCAGCACGACGACCCACCAACCTTTCTTTCCTCTTGGAAGTTCCAGGGGGAAAGAAGGGTTCATGGTGGGTTCAGGGACCTATATATACCGGAGTAGGCCGGGGGGG